TTTCTTTCCCCCCATATGCACTCTCCCTTCCAGGGCAAAATCCTGAAGAAGGCCGTTTGAGACCCCCACCCCTTCCTTTCCAGATCCCCAGGTTCAATAACTCTGTGCAGGAGGGTTAGCATCCTCTTTTTCAGAGGAGGGGACAGGGTCTCTCAGAGGCTAAATCAAGAAGCCCAAATCCCAGATCCACAGGTTCCAAATTAAACCCACCATCTCCAGGTCCCAAATGAAACCCACCGTCTCTAGGTCCCCAACTTGCTCCTGTGGTGGCTTCAGTGTTGGAGAGCTGGCAGCCTTCCTTTCCCCCTGTGTCTCTATTACCTGGACAGTCGGTTCCCAAATCCTGTGGCGCCTGACCATGGGCCTCAAGTGACTGGGCGAACACTGGGCTCCCACCCTTGCCTGTCTCTCCTCTGCAAACCCCCGGACTCCTTTCTCAGCTTTGGACCCCTGGTTGGTGCCACTCCTGCATCCCAGCCACATCTGCACGCTGTACTCCGAGTGACACTTCAGAAACCAGAACCACCCCCACCCCACCCCCGAGACCCTCCCCTTCAGGCCCACACTGACCTACATCCTCCACTTTGTCATTTGCTGCTCTCACTCCTGGGGCCTTGTGTTCATTTCTTGAGGCTGATGTAATAAATTTCCATAAACTTGTTGGCTTAAAACTCCACAGTTTCTGAGCTTATGTCCTGGAGGTCAGGAGTCCCAAATGGGCTCTAAAGGGCTAAGGCCAGGGTGTCAGGGGGGGCTGCCTTCCTTCTGGGGGTCCTGGGGCCAATCCACTTGCTGCCTCTGCCAGCCTCGGGGAGCTGCCTATATTCCATGGCTCACAGCCCTGCCCCATGATGGCCGCTGCTTTTACCCCCACATCTGCCTCCTTGGGCCCTCTTGCCCCTGTGACTCCATGGAACCCACCCAGACAACCCAGGAGCCCTCCCTTAACCACATCTGCAAATTCCCCTTCACCACGGAAGACAGTGTACTCAGGCTCCACAGACCAGGACATGGCCATGTGTGGGGGCCGTTTTCCTGCCTACCAGGGGCTGCTTGGAAACCTTCGACTATCTGTGCATTTTCTTGGTTATTCATTGTCTCTTTTCAATCCCCAAATATGTGCTGTGGTTGCAGTGTGTTTCCTTATCATGGCTCCTGCCTTCTCCACACCTCCCTCCCCTGCCCTGCCCTGTTCACCTTCCTTCCGGAAGCCAGTTTGAGCTGCTGCCTCTCCTGAGCTCCAGGAAGCTTGGGGGCTCCCTCTTTGGGCTCCTGCAGCCTCCAGAGCTCACTGTCTCCCAATCTTAGGGCTCTCGTCTCCCTCTATCTCTACAACGAGCAGTTGGGATGATGCTTGGGACACAGTAGGCCCTTAGTACGTGTTTATGCATGAATCAATGAGGGACAGAGTGTGTTGTGCCACTTCTAAGTTTCGGGGGCCAGAGAGGTGTAGTTGAAACACTCCAAAATTGATGCCCTTCCATGGTTGGCAGAGGCACCGAGTGAGTATATTTCAAACTGCAATTCTTCCAGAACATTCAGAATGAGTAATTGCCTAAAAATAGTAGAAGCTTACAAACTGGTGGTGATGGTGGGGATGATGATAAAAACAGAGGCAAGTGATTCATTCTGGTCTGGGTCTGGGGAGGTCCAAACACATGTGGGCCCTTTTCTTCAGGACAGGGGTAGGGAAGGTGTTTCAGGCAGAGGGAAGAGGCTGAGGACAAGCATGGGGTCACGCAAGGTGAAGAGGGAGCAGGAGCACTGTGGGGGATGACAATGGGGGACCTGAAGTGGCCATGAGGCACCTGGGAGTTTGTGATGTTTCTGAGCGGGAGAGGGACCCATCAGCTGCCTGCTTCTGAAGGTCTCTCTGGCTGAGTGGAGGGAGGATGGGGGGACAGGGGAGGGGAGCCGGAGGCCAGCCAGGAACTGATAGCTTGGACTCAGCGAGTGCTAACAGGGGGACAGGGACTGCTGAAGCCAAAAGGGAGAGATTGCAAAAAGGACACAGGGGAAGAAATGAGAGGACCGAGAATGTGCCCGACACTGGGGTCGGGGGAGGCTTGGCATTTTTCAGCGCAAATAATTCTGACATACAACAGGGTGGATTTAGGCTGGGAGCACGAATTAACTTTTCCCCAATATTATGTGAAAATTTCTAAACATAAAGTTGAAAACAATTGAACAATGAACACCTGTATACTCCCATCTCCATTCTTCTAGAGAGTTGTAACTGAATCTGCTTTATCACACGTCTGTCTGCCCTCCGACTGCGTCCATCCATCTTGTGGTGTTTTTTTTTGTGTGTGTGTGTATGTGGGGGGTACTGTGGTTTGAACTCAGGGGCACCTTAACAATGAGCCACATCCCCAGCCCTATTTTGTATTTTATTTAGAGGCAGGTCTCACTGAGTTGCTGAGTGCCTTACTGTTGCTGAGGCTGGCTTTGAACTCACGATCCTCCTGCCTCAGCCTCCTGAGCTGCAGGGATTGTAGACATGTGCCACACGCCTGGCCCACTTTGTTTTAAGTAGGTTGCAGACACTGGTATGCTCAACCTCTAAATGCTTTTGCACTAACTAGAGCTCAAGATTTGTCTTTTAAGGTGTTTTTATCCTGATGATGTTAGCATTTATTTAGAATTTATTTTTCATTCCATCCATTGGTTGATGACCATTCGAGTTGTTTTAAGATTTGGGATATTTTGAATAATCTGTTGAGAAAATTTTCTTATTAAAAAAAAACTTGGTTTGTACAAGTTTATTACTGGTGATGTTGGGCAGGGGAGGCACCTAGCCCAAGAGCCCAGGAGGTCAGATGCGTAGGGGGCATCTCTGGAGGGAGGACTCTGAACCTTGGGGCTAGAAGTGTCAATTTTGGGGACAGTAGCAGTTGGGCAGGCCCTTGCTCCACCTGGGAGGGCTGTGGGGTGTGCTGAGCTGGTCCCTGGTTCTTGACCTTGGCTGTGCATTAGAATCACTGGGGGAGCTTTCAATGATCTGCATGTCCAGGCCCATTGGGTCACTTCAGGATGGGCCCTCAGTGTCTCTGTGTTTTACATCTCTGCAGAGGACACCGTGGCAGCCAGGATGGAGGACCACTGGGTAGAAGAAGGAGGCTCCAGGACAGATTGTAGAGAAACACTTTCTTTTAAGAAGGTGGAGGAGAACTGGGCAAGGGGATGGGGAAATCAAGAAGAGGAGGAGCCCAGGAGAAGGAGCTTGTTCATTAGCAAGGACAATACCCACAGCAGTGACACCTGCAGACCTCATGGTCAGCAAGTGTAGTGGGGGTCTCGGGAGAGAGCTCAGGTGAGGACAGAGGGAGGTCGGAACCCAGACCTGGACCCTCCCCCAGTGCTCCCCAGTGTTCTTCCTGGTGAACACTGGCCAACAGGGGTGGGCGACAGAACCCTGGCAAAGGTCTGCTTCTTAAGAGCCGAGGACCAGCAGTCTGCCTGCCCCAGGACTCCTAGTGAACTTGGAATTGACCGGAACAACTCTTAGAAAACCTCAAAGACAAACTGATAGGGCCTGGACAGCCCAGCAGGTCACGGTCAGCCAACCTCCGTCCCCAGGTCAGGTCTGTGCTGCCTTGTGACGGGAGGAGACGTGGCTCCCGAGGCTGGTTCCCACGGTCACCTGCCCCATCTGCCCCACTGTCCTCATCTGTGCCCTGGGGACAGTACCCATCCTGCGTTCACTGCTTTTATAAAGCATGAAGTGTCACATAGACAGACGGAGGGACACTGGGGTACCCAGATTTCTGGAGCCAGCAAATCCCAAAAGTTAACAAGATTGACTGGGATTCTGAGACAAAGGCCTTCCCACATCATCGACTCCCTCTAAACAGGAAGTGAGTGAAGAAGAAACAGCGTCGGACTCTCAACTTCTCAAACCAACCATGGGAAAGTTTTGAAATTATTTTTAAAAGATTAATTCACTGTAGACTATATCTATAAATGCCACCGTTTGGACCTTGAATGTCCCACAAAGTCTCATGTGTTCAGAGGTGGGGCTTTGGGGAAGCGATTGGATCCGTTGACCTTGCGGATTAACCCGTTGATGGCTGAGGGAGGCAGGACCCAGTTGGAAGAAGTGGGTCACTGGATGTCTTGTCCCCAATCCCGTCCTCTCTCTCATCTTCTTAACTGTCTTAGTTCCCGCCACCATGGTGCTCTGCCTCACCTCAGGCACACAGCAGTGCAGTCTGGCGACCAGGGACTGAAACCTCTAGAACCATAAACCTTCCTTCCTCAACGTTGCTCTTGTCAGGTATTCTGGTCACAGTGATGAAAAGCTGACACCATCAACTACGATGAAATAAAATAACTAGGGAAACGCAACAAAAATCAATTTCCAATAAGATTACTCATTAAATTGCCATCAATGTGTATATTCTCCCTCAATTTCTGTATCTGTCTCACTGCAGATGGAGCTTGGGAACCAGCTTGAGTGGCAAGATCACACCGAGGAGGACCAAACTACCTTCTCACCACTCGGCATGGACCGGCTGCATCCTGGGAACTTGCTAGAACTGCAGTGCCTGGGGTCCCACCCTCTCCTGCTGACCCAGAGTCTGCTTTTTCACAAGATGACCAAGCGATTCACAGGTGTGCTAAGGTGTTTGGTGGCAGCCAGGGTGGGTGGACCACAGCATGAAGGAATTAGCCAGAACTTCCATCTCCCAGACTCCATCTCCCACCACACAAGAGCAGAAGACAGAAACCGTCTTCCTGAGGAACAGGACTGCCTACATAATTTACAGAGCCCAGTGCAAAATGTGAACGTGGGACCCCTTTCTAAAAGGTCTTAAGAATTTCAAGATGGCGACACAAGCAAGTGGGGGCCCTTCTGACGGGGGTGCAAGGGACCACAGGTCCCATGTTCATGGAGCTGGCGAGGTAAGAAAGGTCATTCTGGGCCCGATCATACTAGCCAGATACATCATTTGCTTTATTCATTTCCAACCATTGTAATTAAAAGCTCCAACTTCTCATCCTTTTTGACGTTTATTTTTTTTCTCCATATGCAAATAAAAATGGTTTTCAATGGCTCTTATTCCAGTGTAATTCTTTCAAAAAATACAAATATGTAGGTCTATGAAAACATGAATAGAAGTTCTGTGTAGGGAAAGACAAATTGTGGTCACTTATTTTATTGACAGTGTACAGACTTTTGATATATTGCATTACAATACTGACCGCCAGATTTCTCATAAAGGTTCAGTTTGTATTTACTCTAGATTTTTCTTTACAACAAAAGTAAACTCATGCCAGTGTTTAGGAACCAAGAATGTCAATTCATTCAAATTTAATGACAGTTTTATTAAACTAAGAATTTCATGTCACAGAGCATTCACAGTGCAGGAGGTCACAGTTATTGAAAAAATAAATAGCGGCATAAATATATTTATTATTTACAACTTTCCAACCCATTGCTCCTGCTCTGAGAGAATGAACAAATATAAGGGTGCAGCCCAGCGCGCTCAAAGTGTCTCGTGGGGGACCCAGGCCATGTGTGGCCTGCCCTAGATGTTCTTGGTTTGCTCTGTTTTTTAACAAGGTCCTTTCAGGACCCAAGACAACCCTGATCACCTGCTACTTGGTAAGTCAAGGTGGGCCCTAGGAAGATCCAAATACCTGGGGGAAGCCATGCCCAGCCCGCCTCTTGGCATCTCGTAGTGCCTGGCCTCTGCACGCTGGGTCCTTGCCTTGGTGATCCTGCATCTGCCCACGGGCCTGGCCCCAAGTGGCCAGCAGCCTTCCTCCTCTCTAGGGAATCAAAGCTCCCTTTGTGCACAGACACCAGCAGCTACTCCCAGCTGGAAGGGAGGTCCGGGCAGAGGGCACCCTGCCAGGGAGCTAGTGCTCTGAGCTGGAGACTTGGCCTCCTAGACTAGCAGCCACCCACAGGGATCCCCCAAAGAAGCTCAGCCACATCTCTGTTTGCTGGGTCCCCAAATTCCCTGGTACAAGCCTTGGGCAGTGTGGACAGTGTGGTCACAGAGTCTACAGCTCAGAGGGTCAGGGATGGAAGGTGAGACAGGATGCCCAGTGATCAGGAAAAAAAAAACCCTAGGAAATTTTATTTGGAAAAGCCTTGAATTTTCAGGGGGAGGAGAGGCCTCCTCCTGTTAAAAGGGGACCACGTGTCCCCTGGGGGATTCCCCTGGAGTGCTGGCAGGAGGGCTCTGCTGTCTGGGTCCCTCCCTCTGGGCACAAAGGCTGGTCATACCAAGCCCTGCCTCTAGAAACCAAAAGCTGCACGTTCCTCTGGTAGCTTTAAAGTGTTGTTTTCCAGGGACGGGGTGGGGAGGGCACATACTCCCCCCAGAATCAACAAGTCTGTTGGCCTTATAAATGGAAAAGTCCCAACCACCCAGGTGCATAAGGAACAGCTGCTTGAATTCTGGCAACACCGTGGGATAGGTGTGGATTATGCTGGAATTTGTCACCGGGCTTTTAACGAAGGAGTAGCCAATCCCCAGCCCCGAAAATCCAATGGATGGAACAACCACACGGTTGAGGCCCTGCCCTTCAGAGATGCCTCTTGGAGGCTACAGGGATTGGAAGAGGGTGGGATTTCAGGTGGACACGAGGCGGGATGAAGATTCACAACTTGGACAACTGGATACTGACTCTGTAAGAGTGGACACAACGTCCTAGAAGCACGAAGGTCAAAGAGGACACAAAGCAGGGCCACTAGTCCCTACCAGTGTGTGCCTAGGACGTCTGAGGGCTTGGCAGCAACGAGTAGAACCTGCAAGCCATCTGTGATGGAAAAGTTAGGATTTTAAAAAATCTCCATAGAGGAATCAAAGCTTGGATACCACTCAGCTGGCTTCCTGGGAAAGACTGCTCCACCTGGGGTCGAGAGGGCATCCCTCCTGATCTCATGCGGCACCCACTTGCTGGAGCTCGGCAGCCCTGTGACAAGCCCCATGTCCACCCGCTAGCTAGCTGCCAGGTTCCAGGTGAAGTATGAAGCTAGCGTCCAGTTTCAGGTTTCTTTATTAACAAGCAACTGCAACAACCTAAGTGGAAATGCCTTTTTAAAATCTGCACCCGTGGAATGGGCCCTGTGGGGAAGAGTCCTTTGCATGAGGCCAAGGTTCCCGTGACAGGACCTGGCAGGAGGCCGCAGACCCTGGTTCTCCGCCTTGTAGATCTGGACGGTGAAAGACCCTCCCTCTCGTTCCCACACAACTGACACAGTGGGGCATAGTTACCCAGAGAACAGGAAGGCCCCTGCCCCACGGCTGGTAGGCCTCACGCCCCAAGGGCTCATGTGAGGAGCCGCAGAGACCAGAAACCCCGGGAGGGAGCGCTCTCGCCTGGCGAAGGCTCAGATGCTCTTTGGGCGAGTCCATATGGAGAGGGCAGTGGGTCCAAGGATTGTGGGGATGAGGGACCTCCTGCCACCCAAGAGCTAACCAGAGAGCATTTCCAGGAATTTCTAGAAGTTTCTAAGGACACGACGTGGCAACAGGGCTGCTCCAGACAGGGACCACAGGCATCCCGGATGCATCTGCTCCCTGCTAGTGCTGGGCTTCTCTCCCACTTTCCCCAGAAGCAATGAGCTGACCCTCTCCCTGTCCTTCTGGCCTTCTCCACCCCCATCTTAAGGAGAGGGAGGGGCCTTGGGGTTCCAGGAGGAGGAAGGCCAAGAGGAAAGGCAGGTGTGGGGCCAAGATGCCACCTGCGTCCTTCCCGAGTTCCTGCCTGCTGGGGAGTCCAGGGTTCTCTGAAGGGTGGGCTGCTGCAGCGTTTGAGCTTGCAAATCCTTGTGTCCAGGAAGAGAAGGTTGGAAAAACCTAGACCCCGGGCAGCCCAGGCTGGGGCTTTTGGTCCCTGTCTTCAGGACTGTGCTTGGGTGGTGTGCAAACCCTGGTGAGGGCTCGGGGAAGGTGAGTGCCTATTGGCTGCTCGGGTCTGTAAAGGCAGGGGCAGACAGGCAAAAGCCAGGAAGAGCCCTCACAGGTGGGGAAGGGAATGACCAGGCGCAGACACACACCTGTAGTCAGGTGTGTGCACAGGTGCTGGCAGGTGACAGGGAGAAGCAGAGGCCAACAGACTCCAGACCGTGTTATAGGAAGGACGGGGTAAGCAACGGGGCCACACTGACTGTCCGCAGTGCCCTTAACCTTCCGTCTCTCACAGCCGCTGACCCAGAACCTTCCTTCAGGGTCAGGTTCCCAAGACACTCCACACTGTCCACCCTAATCCTTGGGCCAGTAAGGACAAATCCCAGACCAGAAGCAGGAATCACCTGCCCCTGCTTCTATAGACACTTTCTACCTGAGTACATGGTTCCTTTTGCTTTTCTGCCCCCCAGAGAAGAGCTTAATGTATTTTTTGTCTATTTTGTAGCAGAAATAATTACCCCATGCTAATTAGCTTTGGAGATAAAAATAAAGGGAGTGATCCGGCATGGGCTGAAAGCGTAAGTTAAAAAATGAAGACCTAAATCATCAAGCAACTCTTAAACTTGTGATGGAAATATATATAGTTAAAAACAGAGAATTTTTCACCTACACTGTTCATAAAGTATTCTAGGTTTCATAAATGCATAGAGCCTTTTAAGGACATTACGTTGGCACATTAAAGTCCAAAGAACATTAGCTAAGAGGAGCATACTACATATTAAAAACATAACTTCATAGTCTCTAGCTGCAGCTGTAGTCGACTTTATAACCTCAAATGGATTCTGCAGAGAGGAGGGCGATTAGGATATATTCTCTGAAAGTTACACAGGGACTCAGTGAATTGAAACCCAGCAGGGACATCTTCAGGGACCACGTACCCTGGTCCTTGTCATATCTAAAAATGATTTTTAGTCTTTTTCAGAAAAAGAAAAAAGACTTCAGATAAGAACAGATCTTAGGAGATGATCTGGGGAATCCAGGAGCCAGTTAAATATTTGATGAGGTTTTGACTTAAACAAAAAGAACCAACCACAAGTGCAAACTCACGCCCATGCCTGCTGCCCCAGGCTGGCCAACCCACATGCACTGGCTCAGCTGGGGAGGGGCAGTGGGGTGGCGCTTGGACAAGCATGCTACCGTTGGCCACTAAACTAGATCACTTGACCTGCCCAAGACCAAATGAATATGTGGGAAAAACTATCCCTGCGTGTGTGTGTGTGTGTGTGTGTGTGTGTGTGTGTGTTTTGAACTAAGCTATTCAGACCCAGAGTGGTCCCCAGTGGCTCTGAAACCTCTTGCAGCTAAGTTTCTACTGCTGCATGGGCTCCCTCCCATCCGGCTTAGCCAATTTTTTAGGAAAATCCTTTTTTCTCGATTTGAAGGCCCCTGAGCCCAGGCTCTGGGTAGAGAAACAGAAAGAGAAGCATTGATATGGTGTCACTCTAATACTGATGTGAGTCCTGGATGGAAACTGGTGCCGGGAGCCAAGTCCCACCACAGGGTCATGCTTAAGGGAACTTGGGGACGCAGGCTTGAACACTTCCTCCTTTTGGAATTCCGGAGGCCTCACAGAGCATAGTCACAAATTCCAACGTGGGTCATGAGCTTGGTGTCTCAGGAGGGGGTTAGCTACTGGAGTTAAACTCATTGCCAAGTTTAAAGCGATTTCTGGTGAATCACTAAAAACCTTTCCTCTGACATCGACAGGGGTGGCTCCCACATCTTCTCCTGTGCAAAATATCTCAATATTAAAAGTGCATCAGATCCGGTAGACTTTTGCGATAGAAATGTTAAAAAAATAAAAGAACACTCTATAGAAAATTAATTTGTGCTTGCTTTTGAGAACCCAGGAAAGGTTTGTGTTCATAAATCTTTTCAATATACATTTTAGAGCAGTTGAACATGGTTCCATGCTTCTCTATTTTTAATCAGTCTCCTATCCCCGGCCTTTCATATGTAGTAAACTATGAGTTTCAAGAAAATTAGCTCTAAAAATTTCCAAGATATGTTTTTCAGACTTGCCTCTAGCTAACCAGAGAGCAATTCATGGTTTTAAAGGAAATCTCTCTTTCTTGTCACTAAAACCATCAGTTATGGAATTGGCTGGGCATATAAACAACTGCGTCTTTCCACAGGGGGGTTATGAATCTAAAACATTACAGAAATGACAAACCTGGACAGACAGTGCATTGCCTCACACAGAAGGTCTGGAATGTCGAGCAGTGAACTGCAGTCCTCACTGTGTCTCTGAGTTAGCACCTGTTTCCACGTTGGTCCTTCACCTTTTTCTATATTCCAAACCAAACATCTCCACGTCGATGCAAGACGAGACACAGAGGTTTCATTTTTGTACAGGGGTGACCTTTTGGGGTCCCCATCATGATCTTTTAGTGTGGAATGATATTTTTCAAGTATGATGATCTGTCGGATGTTTTATTTTTAAATATTTCATTGCTCATTCTCTGCATCAATAAAAAGGATAAGAGTATTTGCGTTTCTCTCTTCTGCTATGAAAGAAATGTTGCCATTCTTCTAATTTTTCCAGAAAAAGGAGTGGAATGTCTGCTGTCATGGTCTCCAACCCCAGCAGGGTGACGCCTTGCCTCTTCCAAACCGTGAGTGCTTCCGGCAGAAGTCAGAGGCTCCTGGGGACACATGTTGCCTGAGGACCTCACTCCTCTGGCCCCGAGCTGACACTACAGAGTGGCACTTTTGTTTTGCACTTGCCCAGGGAGACCTCGTGGGCACCGACTGCCTCGTTTCTGAGCCTGCCCATGGAGGAGAAAGACAAGCTGCATGCAGAAGTGTGCAAGAGATGGGACACTCCATGTCCCCGCGGCTGGCAGCTCAGGGGCCTGTGGAGCTGCTTAACTCAGGACCCTGCCTTGGGGGCTGACTCCAAGGAGCAGGCCAGCAGCCTGGGCTGGGACCAGGCAAAGACCACGATGGCCCTTCCTTCCAGCTCATGAAAGGACAGATGGTGGTGGCTGAGGCAGGAGGGACCTGTGGCGGGGGAGGGAGAGAGAAGGATGCCAGTGTGGTGGGCGGCCAGGACGGCGCGGGGTGGTGGCTCAGCTCTAATCATCTTCTCGGCACATGGGCAGGTTGACGAAGGTGAAGACGTTAAACTCTATCATTATGGAGAAGCACAGGAAGATGGCGTAGAGAACCAGCACGTAGATGCCCAGCTTCCGATCCAGCCGCCATTTGTTGAGGTGGATGCCGAGGACCTGGGGGGACAGAGTGTAAGAGTTGGGCTTGGGGAAGAGGGACACAGAAGGCGTTTTTACCAAAACGTAACGTGTAAGTCACAAACCCTGGAGCTGCAGAACGGAGACAAGGGCAAATGGTCCCCGATGGGCTTCTCCTTGGTTTCACCAGAAACAGCCCTGAGTATAGCCCTGTCCCATGCCGGGGAGAGTCGACGGCCCAATCCTGCTGACTCCAAGATACCCAGCAGCCACCCTCGGGGCACTCACCTCCCCAGGCAGGGCCACCCCCTCAGGTGCACAAGTCCCCCAGCCCAGGCCTTGTGGAGAGACAAGCAGGTCTTTATCTTGGCCTCAGAACATGGCCTGTCTTTCTTCCTTGACATATTTCCCAAGGATCCCAAGGTCCCCATTCTTGGCAAACTGCAGTCTGGGGCATCCCTTTCTGTGTGTGTGTGTGTGTGTGTGTGTGTGTGTGTGTGTGTCCCTCCACTGCATTTGGGCGGGTGGGGCACGCTTCCCCCCACTGTCTTCCTCTGATGACTGAATCAAGGCTTCCGAGGGCTGGACCGGTTACCTCTGCAGAGCACACAGCTCTGTAAATCAGACCAACCTGGTTTGAATCTTAGATTTGCTGTTTCCTTAGTCTGTGACCTGGGGCCAATTACTTACCCCCCGAGCCTCGATTTCTTCTGCAAAATGGGAATGATACCTGCACTACCCTCATCAGGGAGCAGCAAGGATCAGAGAAGTAAAGTGCTCAGCTCAGGCCTAGGCACATGCAGTAGGGAAGCCTTGACTGCCAAGTGTCATCCTGAGGCCTGCCACACCCCCTCCTGTCAGCTCAGATGGGAAGAATTTCTGTCCCCTGGCACTAGAGAAGGCACTGGACAAGGCAGCAAGAAGAAAGGAAATGCAATTCACTTCCCCTGTGATATCTCATCTGCTCAGGAAAGTGCTTAGTAGTGTTGGTCGATGCTCTTGGGAAAAACTGGGTTTGGAGTACATGTGGGTGTACACCTTTGCTCCACTTTGTCTTATGCCAGAGGCAGGGGACAAGGAGGTGTTTGGAGTCTTGCAAGTGACGAGGCAGAAGCAGATGAAATGAGGCCTGCGTGAGGCTTCTCTTTTAGAATTATAAACACTCACGGTGAGCGCGACGGAGCCCAGCAGCAGCACCACAGAATAGACCAGACCCCGGCTGTTGATCTTGACCTGGAAAAGCAAACACAGGGGCCCTGAGCCTCTTGGCTGCGTGGCCAATCCACTGTGAATGCCCAGCGCGCTCAGGCTTATTCACTCCCTGCTCAGGAGAACACAGGGTCCTCGGGTAAGCGCATGGCCAGGAGTCTGGACAATGTGGGTTCAACCTGGACTCTGCTCTCTGAGGAAGGGGCCTGGGAGGGGGACGGGCTGAGATAAGAGGTGGAAGCATGAATAGCCCTCGGCAAACACGGGCTCCCTTATTGAGACCCCCCCACCCCAGTCTGTTCTGTCAAAGAAGTGTGTGCCCCATTCATGATAAAAACACTTAAAGACACGAGGAATGGAAGGAACCCACCTCAACATCATAAAGGCCATACGTGAAAAACCCAAAGCCAACCTCGTAGTAAATGGGAAGAACTGAAAACATCTCCTTTAAAACCCAGGACAAGACAAGGACGTCCACTCCCACCCTCCTGGGTAACATAGTGCTGGAGAGTCTAGCCAGAACAATTAGGCAAGAGAGGGAAATAAGAGGGATAAAAATAGGAAAGGAAGAAGTCAAATAATCACTGTTTGCAGATGATGGGATCCTATACCTAGAAGATCCAAAAAATACTCTACTAAAAGACGGCTTGAGCTAATAAGCAATTTGGCAAAGTAGTGGGTCAATAACCAACATACAAAAATCAGTAGCTTTCCTATATATCAACAATGAAGCTTCCAAGAAAGAAATCAGGAAATCAATTCCATCCACAATAGCCTCAAAAAAAAAAAAAAAGAATAAATCTAACCATGGAGGTGAAAAGCCTCAACAATGAAAACTATAGAACACTGAAGAAGGGAATTGGGGAAGACCTCAGAAGATAGAGAGGCCTCCCATGTTCCTGGATAGGCAGGATTAATGTTGTTAAACATCATTACCACCAAACGCAATATACAGATTCAATGCTCCCCACAAAATACCAATGGCAATCTTCACAAAATAAGAAAAAAACGGTCCTAAAACTCATTTGGAAGAATAAAAGACCCAGAATAGCCAAAGCAATTCTAAGCCCAAAAAGCAACCCTGGAGGCATCACAATACCTGACTTCAAATCATTCTACAGAGCCATAGCAACAAAAGCCGCATGGCCCTGGCCCAGAAACAGACACACAACCAATGGTACAGAAGAGAATACACAGGGCAAACCCACACATCTACAGTCGTCTGATCCTTGACAACGGTGCCAAAAACACACCCTGGAGAAAAGGCAGCCTTTTCAACAAATGAGGCTGGGAAAACTGGTTATCCACATGCAGAAGAATGGAACTAGACCCTGTCTCTCACCCTGCACAAAAGTCAACTCAAAATGGATCAAAGGCCTAGGAATTAGATCAGCAATTATGCAGCTCCTAGAAGAAAAGTAGGGTCAACGCTCCAGCACATGGGCACGGGCAACGATTTTCTCAATAGGATCCCTGAAGCTCAGGAAATAAGTTGATTAATGGGACAGCATCAGATTAAAGAGCTTCTGCACAGGAAAGGAAACAGGAATGTGAAGGGAGAACCTACAGAGGGGGCGAAAGTCTTTGCTAGCTACTCTTCTGACAGAGGATCAGTATCTAGAATATGTGAAGAACTCAAAACGATTTACACCAAAACGTCAAACCACTCAATTACTAAATGGGCAAATGAATTAAACAGGCACTTCTCAAAAGAAGAAATACAAATGGCCAACAAATATATGAGAAAAATATCCAACATCATTAGCAATTAGGGAAATGCAAATCAAGACTACACCGAGATCTCATCTCACACCAGTCAGGCGGCAGTCAGCAAGAACACAAACAATAATAAATGCTTGGGAGGATATGGAGAAAATGGAACACTTTAACACTGTTGTTGGGACGTAAAATCCTATTAGTACAACCACTATGGAAATCAGTATGGAGTTTCTTCAAAAGACTAGGCATGGAACCACCGTATGACCCAGCTGTACCACGCCTCAATATTTGTCCTAAAGAATTAGAATCATCTCACTACAGTGATACACGCACATCCACGTTCACAGCAGCATGATTCATAATAGCCAACTAGGGACCAGCCTAGGGGTCCATCCACAGGTGAATGGATAAAGAAAACGGACTCTTACTCAGCCATAAAGAAAAAGAAATATGCCCATTTGTAGGAAAACCGATGGAACTGGAGTCCATTATGTTAAATAAAATAAGTCAAACTCAGAAGGTTAAAGATGGAATGTTTTCTCTCCTATGTGGAAGCTGGAGAGGAAAAAGGAAAAGAAAGTTGGGGGTGGTGGGGATCTCCCGCAAATCAGGGAGAGATCAGTGGAGGAAAGGAACCAGGGGGTGGGAAGAAGGGAGGGAGGGGAGAGGGCTGGGGAGGGATATGAGCCAGATCATGTTGCTATTTTGCATGCAAGTATGAGTATGGAACAACAAATCCCATTCCTACATACAATTACAGCGCACCAATAGGACATACGTGAAGAAAAAAGAAGGTGGGTACCAAGGATGGAGACAGGCACATCTCCTAAACCCTGGGCTAAGTGCACCCACCTGTTTCCTTGGGCACTGGGGGGACTTACCGTGGATCCATAACTAATGACCATGGTCTGCAGGCCCCATGGGATGCCGAGCCCCACCAGGATGTCGAACACATTGCTTCCTATGGTGTTGGACACCGCCATGTCGCCAAGGCCTGGGGACCACCAACACATTTCTGTCATCAAGAGCAGGTCTCTGGAAACCTGTGTTCTTTCTCACAACTGTCCTCTCAGTGCTATTCCTTAGAAAGGAATCCCCTCCTCGTGGACCCTACTTTCCTAAGACCTTTCTTGTGAGGTTTAAGATCTCCTCCCTTCAAAAAATTTAAAAGACCCTGTTACGGGTTGAATCGTGGCCCTCAGACTCACTTGTTGATGTCCTAACCCCCAGTTCTCCAGGGTGGTACCTTATTGGAGGCAGGGCCTCTGACAAGGTGAGAGGTTAAGATGAGGTCATTAGGGTGAGCCCTAATCCAATGTGACTGGGAGGACCTTGGACACAGACAGCACACAGGGAGAAAGGTACTGAGGAGGAAGACAGCCCAGGAGGTCAGGACAGGGGCCTGGGCGGGATTCTCCCTGCCTCAGAATCAACCCTGCCCACACCTTGACCTTGAACTCTGACCTTCAGCTGACATTCTCTGAGGACCCACCATGAGCTCTGCCTCACTTAGTGCTCCAGTTGTGCTGGGGAGTTGGGAACAAGATCATTCTCATGGGGCCGATGATGAAGGGCACGGTGTGAGTGGCTAGTTGTCAGGACGCCTGGTCCGGCACCCTTTATAACAAACCATTAGGGTCCTGCTTGTGGCCCAGGCAAAGGTACCCTGGCCTTGGCCAGGATCACAGGGCATCAGATCTCATGCCTTGGTCGTTCCTAAAGGGTAAACTTTCTCCAAACAGAACAGAAGCATCTCAGAGACTGGGGGCCATGCCCACTGTCCAGTCTCAAACCAGCTACACCAGCTGAGGGACTCAATCTCTTGAGGGGGATTAAAGTGCAGAGAGCAAATTTATAAATAAGACTCGTGCTGGCTGAAGTCCGTTCTAACTTCCCATTCAGCCCTAATTTGACACACACAAAGGTCTGCAGGATGAGCAAGCCTGGCTCACAGTACCTATGCCATGACACTGCTTGGTGGCTGGGCAGCCCGGCAGCTCTGACCAACATCTGGGCGAGGGCCCACCCCCTCCCATCCTGGCTGCTGTCATCTGCTGACTCCTGCACACGAGGCCCCCCAAGGTCTGCAGGGCTGGGCGGACGTTCCTGCTCCTTCCTGCCAGGCGCTGTTCCAAGTGACCTCAGTGTCTTGGCGGCTTAGTCCTGTGAGGGGCCGCAGCTCTGGGAACCTGGCCTCCCAGGATCCTAGTCTGGCAAAACTCAGGAACACGCAGGACTGTTCTGGACCAGCGGCTGGTGCCTGGTGAGGACATGGGGCTCGCCAGACAGGGAGGGAGGAGAAAAGGTGCGGGAGTTTGGAGAGGAGACAGGTGCTCCTCAGGGTTGCTGGAGTCCCCACACTACGCAGCATCTGTGGCATCTGGTGTGACTCCTCGAGGACTCTTAGGGCCGTGACTCAACCTTGATGAGCACCAAATCACCCGGGGGTGGAGGGAGGTTTTGTTAACACGCAGATCCGGTTTGGTGGGACTGGGGCAGGGCCCAGAGGCCCATTTCTCCCAGGCTTCCAGGTCGATGTCAGTGGACCACACTTGAGCTGGGAGCCTGCAGGGAGCTCAGGGTGCAGAACTCCCCTTCAAAGCATGCTGCTGGTCTTCTGCGTGGCGCAGCAGACTCTGAACACGGTTTCTTACGCCCTTCGCTGTTGAGAAGCTACCTAATCTTACCATGCCGGTGGGATTCTGTCAATCACAGCAATTCTGTCACCCTTATGACAATGATGCACCCCAGTCTGGGTCTCAGGCTCCCTGCTTTTCTGTACGCCTTCAGTTCATCATAGCCACTCTGTGATGGTGTCCTTCCTCAGACCACCACAGGTGGGCCAAGGAGACCATCTGTCCCTTGTTCCAAAAGGAGACCTGCAGTGACTTCCCTGGGACCCCCACTCAAACCCTGAAGTTTCTCACATCATGACCCCCCCCCACAGCCTGAACCCCAGGGCCAGTCACTTAAACTGAGGTCTCTTGCCGTCTTGACCTCCCACTGAGTCCACCGGATCAACCTGGAAGTCTACTCTGAAAGGCCCGCTCACTGGCAGAAAAGGAGCCGTAGAGAAAGGCGAGACTTTGGACGGCTCTTAGGTTCTGCCCTCAGAGCCCGCACAGCAGCCCTTCTCCTGCGCCACGTGGCCGCTCAGCAGGCTCACAAGGAGACCACTGGGGCAAAACACTCTGTCTTCTAAAGCCAGAAGATGAAGAGGATGCTCATTTTCCCTTCCTGGCCCTGGGACACGGCTCCTGTCAGCTTGCTGGCTGTGTGGAGTCTCACTTTGGAGGCTGGAGGTCACAAGATAGATTCTTCTTTTGGGGGGGGGGTACTGGGGATTGAACTCAGGGGTACTCAACCACTGAGCCACATCCCCAACCCTATTTTGTATTTTATTTAGAGACAGGGTCTCACTGAGTTGCTTAGCATCTCACTTTTGCTGAGGCTGGCTTTGAACTCACAATTCTCCTGCCTCAGCCTCCCAAGCTGCAGGGATTACGGGCGTGTGCTACTGGGCCTGGCTTAGATTCATTTTATGACAACCACTAGAGTGAATGCTTCCAAACACCTCCAGGAGCTCATCACGGGACCTGCTCTCCCCATGGATGGCATCTAAAATGTGATGCTTCCGGATGTGACCATCTCCCTTGTACCAGGACTGGACAGCTGCCACCCTCAGAGCCACACCTGGCCAACTACACTTGGGCAGGAAGACGAGGGGGCCGCAAGGCACTGCTGATGGCTGCCGGGACCAGACTCAACCCATACCTTGTCTGGCCACGATCAAGCTGGCCATGCAGTCGGGGACACTGGTGCCTGCGGCCAGGAAGGTGATGCCCATGATGACGTCGGGGATCCCCAGGGTGTATCCGATGATGGTCACCTGCAGGAGAGGCAGGAGTGAGCCCGCCTGACACCCCCGGAACTGTCCCCACCCTGTGCGCTTTTAGCTTGAACATGAGGTTGCTGTCACGGAGGGGAAAATCTGGAATGTGGTTCAGTTTTAAAAGTATCTCTTGAGTGTGCTTTTTTCCCTGATTGAACAAGTACTATGTCTCAAAACATTTACAAGATAAAATACAATGACCTCCCATTTCTTAAGACCCCAGACAGCCACTGCTCAGCTCTTAGGACAGCCGTGGGCCTCCAACTTGAGCATTCAGGAAACCCCTGCAGGGCTGGTGCCAATGCAGACTGCCAGGCCCCACCCCAGAGTTCTGGGGGAAGCCTGAGGACTTGCCTTCCTAAAGGCCCCGGGGTTGGTGTGGCTGCTGGTCTGGGCACAACGTTTCAGAAGGTTCCAGACCTTGTTTTTGGTGTGTGTATATGTTAGGAAAAATGAAGTCCAAGTACACCACCAACATCTCTTTTGTAACTGTTTCACATAATGACCCTGGGGACACCTTTCCGTTGGAATCGTCATCTACAACACATTTTAGCTGACACTTACATTTCATTTATGGCTATAAAATGCTAGCCAATTCCTCCCTACTGGATATTTAGCTGTTTTCTTTTTTGCTCTGATAACATCACTGCCTATGACAGTATTTATTGAGCACTTACTGTGTATCAGGTACAGTACGAGGTGTTTTCCACAATCTCATGTAATCTATCATTTACCACCCACAGATGAGGGAAGCATGATTGTTATGGCAACTGAGGGTCAGAGAGGTTAAGCCACAGTGCCATGGACACACAGCTGGTTATCAATGGAGCAAGGATTCTGAGCCAAGTTTCTGCCCCTACAGCTGGTGCTCCAGCCTTTCCATCACGCTGTCCTGTGCGTACATCTTTGGCTTTTTGCCACCTTAGGATAACTTCCAAGAGGTAAAACTCTGGGTCAAAGGATAGACAGGCTCTTAGAGCTCTTGGTGCACAGTCACACACTCTACTAATGAATGTCAGACCCTGGAGGGATGGTGGGGTCAGAGCAGCTGTCAGATGGAAAGCCCTGGAAGCATCTGGACCACCCGGCTCACCAAGCCCTCAGCTCTGCTCTGCCTCTCCATCTAGAGATCCAGACAGTGGCACCCGAGAGCCCTTCACATCTCAGCTACCCGTCCCAGTCCCACGAGCGGCTGTGTGACCCTGGGTGAGCCACCTTGCTCCTCTGAGCCTCAGCCCCTCACCTGTCAAACGGGCTTGTTGACAAGGACAAATGAGAAAATGCAAGGTGACAGCACCTGGCTCCTGCCAGATGTCCACGGTGGCATCTCCCCTTCTGCTTCGATCATTTGTTTTGCTATCTTTGGGGACAAGGAGACTGGGGATCAGGCTTCCTGGGGCTCAGAGAGCCCCGGACCGGGCATGCTTTCTAAGTGCAAAGCTCGGCCCTGGCCGGCAGCCAGCGTCTGGTCTTAAAAGATGTCCCTGTTGGGAGAAAGTTTTGCTGAGGGGTCTGAGGACAGCAGACCCACTAAGTGGGTCCGTTCAGCGCTACTTGAAGTCCCTCCCTGCTCTCGAGTGAGGCGTCATTTTCTCAGATCACCCTGTGCTGATGAGATTGTTCTCAGCCGGGCACAGAGGGAGAGAGTGGGGGGCAAAAAGGAAGAAAGAGCCATCAGTGCTTCATCCACGCGGGCTCGAAGGGGCTCTGCACACCAGACCAGGAGGGGCCAACAGGTTTATAATTGGTGACTCTACCATGAGCACAGAAACGGGGTTACCCTGGGATTACTAGGGCTTCCTCCCCCCTTAACTACAGAGTGACGGGGGGCTGGAATGCAGGCAGCCTTTGCGGGGTGCCTCAGCACCCAGCATGTTTAGGATCAGGGATGCCACACGAGCCCTGCTTCAGCCTGGCTCCAACCCTGCGGCCTCTGAGCCTCCTGACGCTTAGGCTTCAGAAAGGGAAGGAAAGCCATATCCAGAGCCCCAGGGTAGGTCCCAACTCTGTCCTGACTACCTGTGTGACCTTGGTCCTCAGTGTCCCCAACTGTGCTGGGGAAAAGGGTGATCCACTTCTCAGGTCCCTCCCTGTGGATGCTCACATTCAAGAATTATTTTCCCTGAAGCTTTGGGGGCGAGAGAGGGAAAAGACAGGTAGGGGACTTCACCCTGGCACCCTAACCAGGGCACAGTGACAGCAAGGGCACTGCTCCCAGCAAACCTTGCTGGCACTGTCAGACCCCCCAACCAGGCCATCTGAAGTTCAAAACCACAGGTAAGAGGGCCCCAGCAAGGTGGCCCCTGACCCTGGGCCAAGCCACCATGTCTCTGGTTTAAGAAACGGCAGTGGGATTCGTAGGTGAAGGATGTGCGGGTCGGGGGTCCGGCCCTGCAGCTGACCACAGCGGAGAGACCCAGGCCGCTGTTTTCTGTAACTAGAGAAGGAAGATTCCACACCTTCATTAATTTGATCTTCCAAATGCCACAAAACCCTGTTTACCTGGGATGCTGTTTGGGGAATACACGTTGTAAGAAAACCCACTGAGTGCTGTGTTTAAATATAAAGATGGCCTGGTGGGTAGTTTTGCTTCAGAAAAATTAAGATGTGCAAATTCAAGGCACAGTGTTTGTGCTCTCTGTCACCTCGTCCTGGGGGTTTTGCAGAGTAGCTCTTTCCAGTTCTTTCCAACACAGGAAAGCCCCCTTCCTCCTGCCCTGCACGACAGCTCCCAAAAGCTGCTCAGAATCCTATCGGACTCCTGCCTGGGCTCGCGCACTGCTTGGGGAGGGCAAGGAGGGTGTGATGGGGTTGGCTGGGAGCAGAACCAGGGTTGCCTGTGTGCCTGGGGCGTTAGGCTCTATGAGGTGTTCCCTGAAGCTCGCAGGTGAGACAAGGCTTAGAGGTGAAATGATTGGGTTTTGAGAGCCTTAAACTAATCGGTGCGTTAACCCACTGATGGGGACTAACTGGGTGGTACCTAGGCGGTAGAGGGTGGATGGAGGAAGTGGGTCCCTGGGGTTTATATTTCCTTGCTGGTGAGGGGAGCTCTCTCCCTGCTTCCTGGGGGCCATGTCCTGAGCTGCTTTCCTCCTCCCCCACAGCCCTCCCCCACGATGCGCTGCCTCACCCTGGGCCCAGAGCAGTGGAGCTGGCCTTCTATGGAACCGAGATCCCAAATAATCTTTTCCTTCTCTAAGATTGTTCTTGTCAGGGTTCTTGGTCACAGCAGCTGCTCAAACAGGCTCCAACAGCCTTACAAGACAGCACGGGTCACTCGCTTCACAGAGGGGGCCACCTTGGCCCAGGGAGCTGAGTCACTTGCTCAGGCCAGTGGCTCCCAAGAGGCAGGACTGGCACTTGCATCTGTTCTCCTGTGACTCCCGCCCTCCCCCCTCCACTTTTGTTCACACTGAGCTGTGTGGTTCCTCTGGAGTTGAGGGAGGTGGCCCTGTGACCACAGGGAAAGCCACCTGGCCCTGCTGCCTCTCAAGTCAAGCCTCGCTTGCCTCCACCCAGGTGTCTGGGGAGAATGCAGTGACCCAAGGGGGCCACCAAAGCGTGAGTGGGCGACAGATGAGCTTCACCACCCACCCGTGGGAAGGCAGCCACATGGAAACCGTTCTCCTTCTCCTGGGCTTCCACTCTGGCTGAGGAGGAGGACAGGGGCCCTCTGGCTGGGACACGCAGCACCAGGAGCACCTTGGGTTCTTGCGTAGCCTGGCCCAGCCAGCGAGGGGTTTGTACAGGGAGCCATCGAGTGTGGCCCGAGGAGCTTTCGAGAAGCTGCAAAACCTCCATCCACGGGCACGGGAACTCCAGGCATAAAGTGAGTGGCAGCTCATGGTGTGGGTGGAGGCCACAGACCAGGAGGCCGATATTGGGGTTCTAATCCCACCTCTAGCACTCACTGATGGTGTAACCTTGGGCGAGACCCTCACTCTCTCTGTGCCTCAGTTTCCTCATCTGTAAAATGGGGACAATACAGTACTTGCCCCATGGGGTTGTCATGAGGGAGTTCACATGGGGTGCTTACAGCAGTGCTGGGCATAGGCGAAGGGAGAGGAGCACTGGGGGGTCCTGGGGAGAGCCACCTGCGTCCACCATCATCTCCCACGGCCCCGGCCCCTTTCCTTTGCGTTCCCCTGGGGAACCCAGAAGTGAGGGGGCCTGTGATCAGCCGCCCCCCCCCACCGTCAGAATCCTCCGTCCATCCTGCCGTTCACCTGTGTGAAGTCCCTGTCCCTCCCGCCCACCCGCCCCAGAGGTGAGCACAAGCTGCAGCCAAGCCCCTGGCACCCAGCACAGCACCCGCACTGTGTTTAAACCCTTGTCCACTGAGCAATAAGCCACTGGCCCCGAGGTGGCACAGCAGTGCCTATGGTGGCCTTGAGCCCAGCCTTTCTCCTCTGCTGGAGAGGGGCTGGCTGTCCAGTCCACCTGCCGCTCCCACCACTCACCAGCCACACCATGAAATAGGAGAAGACGGCGATCCACAGCGTGGCGGTGATGAAGGTGACCATGAAGAGCTTCTCCCAGCGGGGCTTGCTGCAGTTGGGGATGGTGACACACAGGAGGAAGATGAGGGGCCAGGTGAACACCCACTTGGCCTTGTCCCCTCGTGCTTCTGCAGGGGGTGGGGAAAGCAAGGAGGGAAGGGGGAGAGAGACACGGGGTTACACAGCTGCGAGCCAAACCAAAGAACATCACTTCCCAGAACCCTAGACTTCCATAACATTGTCACTCTGGAAGCAGCAGGACAAAGCAGTAGGCATGTGCAGACTGGCTAACTGTAGTCTATTCAGATCCTTCATTTGTTAGGACTCGGGAGGTGAGACCCAGGCCAGGGAGGAACCTGGCCAGGGAGCTGGGATGTGGATGTGGTTGAGCTCCGGAATCCCACGGCTGGAATTCAAATGACCTTGAGTGACCCCATCAGTGTCACTTCCTTCCCCGAGGATAACAGTCATGCAAATACAACAATGTGGCGATCATCGACACAGCGCTGGCCATTTTGTATACTATTCATTTCTTCATCTGTTTAGTAGGAACAAAATCTCTTGGTTGTTGCAAGAACAACGTGACGCAGTCTGAGACCTCGGCACAGAGCCCAGCACACAGTCAGTACTCGGATCTCCAGCTTCTTCGACCAAGGTCACACAGTCAGCCTATGGCAGGTACAGACTAGCCTAAGGTGTGTGCCTGGGCTGGCGGTCCCCAACACTGGACCCTGCCAAGGAATTCACACACAATTCAGCCAAGGAAAGGTGGCCTCAGTAAGTCACCGAGTGCAAGTAGTGTCCTTAATGAGACACCCAGTATGGGTGTGTGGATGGCAGTGCAGGAAGGACCTTTGGAAATTCTCTGTAAAAGCAGTGGGGACAATGGCAAAAATGGTGACAATATTTTTTTTTCAGAACTCCAGAAATCAGTCAAAGGCTTGTGGCAATCCAGGATGTCTATTTAAGACATCAGCGAGGTCCCCGGAAGAGCAGTGAGCTGCGGGGTTCTCACTTTCCCCATTTCCAGTCCCTCTCACCTGCCAACCAGCAGCCTGCAGTCCCACTTACGGCCACCAGAGGGGGCAGGTTGTGACTGAGTTTCCAAACCTGTGAAAGGGCCTCCAAGAGCCTGTATCTACCCTCCTAGGAAACCTCTGCAGAGCACTTGGGAAGCCCCCCACCCCCACCCCCAGAATTACTGTTATGGACCTCTCTGGTGCTCCCTGGAAGTCCCCACTTTTAAGACTGTCTACATATCTGAACCTGGTGTAAAGAGCCTTTTCCTTGGGGTTTTGTTGAAAACAGTCAGAAGCAATCATCAAATCATGTGCCCAAGTGGCAGATCACAGTTAGGAAAAACAATAGGGAATGAGCTATTGACAGGGGCTTGACAAAGCTCCCACATGTTCCTGCAGATCTCAAGGACCCAGCGCATGTGCAGCGCTGCCAGGTGGTTCCCAGGGTCAGGAGAGTTGAGGTCGTCCTAAGTTCTCACCTCTGCCTGACCCTGAGGCTCTGTGACAGCAAAAAGCAAAGGCAAATGCAGAGTCTGAAACTTCGTGTCTAAAAGTTGAAGGCGCGACCCCAAACGACACGGAGCCCCTCAGCAAAGATGGGGGCTGCTGAGTTCAGTATCTAGGGAAGCGTCTGCCTGGTTATGAGCCTCTAGAGTGACCCAGCACAGACCGGGTGGCCTTGCCCAGCCAAGAATTCACATTTTACAGAATTAGTTCATAAGAATCACTAAACAAACAAATGACAATGATAACAGTAGCAACAACAATGTCACACCCTGGAAAGCGGGAAGAATGTGATTTCTAGAGTTTCCACATTTTGTTATTTTAAATATATGACAATACGGTGTTTCTATAACAATGACAAAAAAATTATGAGATATGCAAAATAATATTGCCCAGACACAGGAAAAGAAGAGCCAATATGACCTTCACAAGGAAGTCCAGAGGTTGGGTTCATAAGACAAAAACTTAGTTGGCTAATCTAAAAATATATACATAGGGGTTTTTTATGTCTACAACAACTAAAGAAAAGCGTGAGAATGATACTAGAAAGTACGAGAATTTCACTGGAAAATATGAATAAAGAGATCAAAGTGACTTAAAAAACACAGCCATTCTGGAATCAGGAAGTACAGTAACTGAGATGAAAGATCCACTAGAGGGGTTCCACAGCGGATTTGAGCAGGCAGAAATTAAAAAGTCAACAACCTTGAAGATAATCCAACCTGAGGATCAGAAAGAAAAAAAGAAAGAAGGAAAATGACCAGGCCTCAGTGACCTGTGAACACCAAGCAGATAAACGGGCGTCCTGGGAGGTGGGGGGAGGGGGAAAGGAGAGGAAGAATGAGAACTCGTGATGGAGAACCCCCAATCTGATGGAGAGCATTGATATACGCATTAGAACAGTCTCCAGAACCTTCTCCAGGCCAGCCCAGGTGTCAGGCTGCGAGACAAGAGTCAATGCACTGGGACTGACATCAGGGAGTATGTTCCACAGTGGAATGCAGTCGGTGATCAGTAACTGGGAAACGGGAAGATTCACAGATGTGTGGAAGCTAAATAGCACACTCCTAAATAACTGTGATGGAGGAAGAAATCACAAGGACAATTAAAAAATCCTTTGGGTTGAACAAAAAAGCTCTGCTCTTACCCCTTCTATTCAGTCTGGTCCTAGAGGTTTTAGCCAAGGAAATAGGGCAAGAAAAAGAAGTAAAGGTCCTTCAGATTGGAAAGGAAGAAATAACACTGTCCTTCTGCATAGATGACCGGACTTGTATATGGAAAACTGTAAGGAATGCACAATCACACACAGAATCAACAGGCTCAGCCACGTTGAAAGATATGAGATCAATATACAAAATTCAATTTACTTCTATACACTAACAACGAATAATCCAGATACGAAATTAAGGAAACCATTCCATGTATAGCATCATCAAAAAAAAAAAATTACTACCTATATTTGTGTAACAAAAGTACAAGACTTATAAGTTGAAAACTACCAAACATCATTGAAAGAAATTAAGAAGACCTAAATAAATGGGTGATGTCCTGTTTGTGGACTGGACAATGTAATCTTTTAAAAAATATTTTTATTAGTTGTAGATGGACACAATGCCCTTATTTATTTATTTATTTAATGTGGTGCTGAGAATCGAACGAACCCAGGGCCTCACACGTGCTAGGCAAGTGCTCTACCACTGAGCCACAACCCCAGCCCACGGACAATTGTAATATTGTAATATAATAACAATTGTAATATTATAAAGAAACCAGTATTCCCCAAAGGGCTCACAGAGTCGATGCAATCCCCGTTAGAATCCCAAGGGGTTTTTCTACAGAAATTCTCAAACTGAGCTGAAAATCCACATGGAAACTCAAAGGACCCAGAAGAGCCAAAACAAACTTGAAAAGGACAAAACTGGAGACTTCAGACACTCTGAGCCTAACACTGACTACAGAGCTCTACAAATAAGAGGAGCTGCCGGCACGAGGGAAGGGGACTAGAATTTAAAGCCCACAAATAAGCCCTACGTTCAAGGTCAGCTGACACGCGACAAGGGTGTCAAGACACTTGCATAAATGATGGCATCTGCTGCTAAATGGATGGAGCTGGAGATGACCAGGCTGAATGGAATAAGCCAACCCCCGAACCAAAGGTGGAGCGTTCTGACAGGCGGATGCCGACTCAGGTTAAGTGGGGGGAGGAAGAACAGAAGGTTATTGGACTAGACAGAGGGGAATGAAGGGGGGGGATGGAAATAGGAAAAACCGTGGAATGAATCAGGCATGACTTTCCTACATTCACATAGGAATACATGCCCATGTTCAATCACCAGAATGGGAAGTTGTACTCCAAGTATGCAGGATGTGTCAAAATGCACTCTATTGTCACTGATACCTCAAAAAAATAACAACAAAGACACATTTCAATAGGGAAAGAACAGTCTTCAACAAATGCTGCAAACTGGATATCCATGTGCAAATGATGGAACTGGTTCCCTACCTCACACCATATCAAGGTTTTTTTTTTTTTTTAAAGATTGAAGATGTAAATATAAGGACTACAACTATAAAACAATAGAAGAAAACATGGGATTTCAGATTGGAAAGGAAGAAATAACACAGCTCTTTATGCTATAAGATTAGTCAATGGCTTCTTAAATGACACCCAAATCACAAGCAATGAAAGAAAAAATACATCAGATTTTATCAAAATTAAAGAACTTAGTGATTTATAGGACACTAATGAAAAACTGAGGGGAACTCCCCCTAACTCGCAAATCATATTATCTGATAAGGACCTAGAGTCCAAAATATATAAAGAACCCTCACAGTTCATCAATTGCCCAAACAAAACAATATAATACCCTAATTTTAAAAAAATAGGCAAAGGGATTTGAATAGACAGTTCTTCAAAAAAGGTACATGAATGGCCAAATAAACCTATTAAAAAATGCTCACAATCTTTAGCCACTAGGAAAATGCAATTCAAAACAGTTTCACACTCACAAGCATAACTACAGTAAAAAAGATAAATAACAGCTGGGTGCGGTGGTGCACACCTGCAACCTCAGTCACTCCAGAGGCCGAGGTAGGAGGATCATGAGTTTGAAGCCAGCCTCAGCAACTTAGTGAGGTCTTAAGCAACTTAGAGAGACCCTGTCTCCAAACAAAACAAAACAAAAAGGGCTGAAGTAAGTGCCCCTGGTCCAATCTCTGGTGCACACAAAAATAAAAAGACAAATAACAAATATTACTGGTTGTGGGAAAAATAAGAACACTCACACATCGCTGGTGGGAGTGTCAAATGTCTTCTTAGAAAACTCAAAGAGTTAACCAGAGAGTTAACCAGAGAACTGCTATATAATACAGCAATTCTATTCCTATATACCCAAGGGGAACGAAAAAAAAATGTTGATATGAAAGCTTGTATGCAAATAGTCATGGCAGAATTATTCATTACAGCCAAAAAAGAAACAGCCCAAATAATGCAAGTGATGAATGGATAAACAAAATATGGTATGCAAACACAAAAGAATATTACTTGCCCATGAAGAGGAATGAAGTACTGGCCCAGGCTGTGTGAACCTTGAAATCATTATTAC